CCCCCCCCCCCCCCCCCCGCCTATCGCACATCTGGCCCACAGATTCCTTGGATGACGCGAGCCGCCCCGAGTTTCCCCAAAAGCCAAAAGAACTCGTTCCTACGGTAATGGGCTGCGGTCAAAAAGCCTAAGGTGTACCCTCTACATTCGTGAGGGTCCAGGGTCTATAGGGTCTAGAGTCTAGGGTCTAGGGTCTAGAGGTCTAGGGTCTAGGGTTTAGGGTTTGGGGTTTCGGGTTTGGGGTTTAGGGTTTAGGGTTTAGGGTTTAGGGTTTAGGGTTTAGGGTTTAGGGTTTAGGGTTTAGGGTTTAGGGTTTAGGGATTCTTAGATGTCTACGCCCTACACCCCCCCAAATCTCGGCCGTGGCTCCAAGCTCCAGGATTCTGGGGCAGCAATCGTCTCGGCCATCTTCAAGGACCTCCCGGATGGACTGGGCTCCATGCCCCCACTTAATGGGGTTTAGGGTTTAGGGTTTAGGTTTAGGGTTTAGGGTTTAGGGTTTAGGGTTTAGGGTTTAGGGTTTAGGGTTTAGGGTTTAGGGTTTAGGGTTTAGGGTTTAGGGTTTAGGGTTTAGGGTTTAGGGTTTAGGGTTTAGGGTTTAGGTTAGGGTTTAGGGTTTAGGGTTTAGGGTTTAGGGTTTAGGGTTTAGGGTTTAGGGTTTAGGGTTTAGGGTTTAGGGTTTAGGGTTTAGGGTTTAGGGTTTAGGGTTTAGGGTTTAGGGTTTAGGGTTTAGGGTGTAGGTTTTAGGGTTTAGGGTTTAGGGTTTAGGGTTTAGGGTTTAGGGTTTAGGGTTTAGGGTTTAGGGTTTAGGGTTTAGGGTTTAGGGTTTAGGGTTTAGGGTTTAGGGTTTAGGGTTTAGGGTTTAGGGTTTGCTGTGATATGGCGTAGATGCTGTGAAGGTTAGGTTTCGGAACAAGCTCGAAAGCTTCGTGAGGTGCGAAAAGCAGCATTGGCTTGATTGTGGAGGGCCATCTAACACTTTGCTCCCACCCCACACCGTCCAAGGCAGCAAAGCCACCCAAACCTATTCCTTTTAGGGTTTAGACCTAAACTCAGACAACAGCCCACTTCTAAAACTTAGGCAGTTTCAGGGAGGGTTGCAGCAAGTTTCAGAGGGGCGGGCTCCACCATGCACCCATCAGGGACCAGCCTGCTGTGGGGCAGGTCAGGGCATCAGGAGACCCAGAGAGGCCACAGGGGCCAAAGGCCAGGGGTCAGTCGTCGAAGGCACAAAAAAACACTTTTTGAGCATCCACCCTGCCTGGACCCTGGACACGCTGCGGCGAGGGGGTCCTGGTCCTCCTGCCCTGGGGCCCTGGGGGTACCCCCCGAGAATGCCAGCCACCTTCTGGCATGGGGGAAATTTAGGTTATAAGCGAACTGGTCCGGAGGAGAACGTGTTCCGGTACCGGACCCATCGTGGGTGCTACCGACCTCCGGGCTGCAGGAGGCGGGCAAGCGACCTGGGTCGACTTCCGCAGCTTATAAGCGCCGCCCCGACCCTGAGTTTAGGGGTTGTAAGCAAGGTTGGTGAGGAGCCTTCTAGGGATTATGAGAGGGCTTCCAAGTAATTACCCCCCTTTGGAAGCCCTCTTATAATCCCTAGAAGGCACCTCACCAACCTTACTTACAACCCCTAAACCCTAAACCCTAAACCCCTACACCCTAACCCTAAACCCTAAGCCCTACACCCTAAACCCTAAACCCTAAAGGCACCGTCCCTTGCCGAAGCAAGGCCCTGAAAGCCGGTCATAAATTCGACGACTTTCTTTGTCAGGCACTGCAGGTGGCGTGCGCTCTTGCTCGAAAAAAGGTTTAGGGTTTAGGGTTTAGGGTTTAGGGTTTAGGGTTTAGGGTTTAGGGTTTAGGGTTTAGGGTTTAGGGTTTAGGGTTCGGGGTTTAGGGTTTAGGGTACTAACTAGTGCCAAGCTTTGCAAGCGAGTGAGCAAATAAGGCTGAGCCAGTGGTTGCAAAAAACTGCAGCAAGTTGACGCATTTGGCTGGTGAAAGGACCCATGTTTTTGCTTCATTGCTGCGAGACTCCCTCCATTTTCGCTGGACACTATGGCATCGAAACACTGTGACAAAAAAAACTCAGCATTGCAGGTCCTAACGCACGCTATGGCGATTGCTAGCACCAGGTCGGCGTTCATACTCATCTGCCTAGCACTGTGAATACTGCACACCGCATGATTTCAGCCCCGCCCCCATCCCCCCCCCCCCGCCCTCCCCCCCGCCCCCCCCTCCCCCCCCCGGTCCCCCCGCCCCCATCCCCCCCCGCCCCCATCCCGCCCTCCAACACCCACCCCTACCCCCGTCACTGCAGCAAGCTAGGAAGTCTCCATAGCGCGATGTAATCGCAGGAGCCCCCCCCCCCCCCCCCAGAATTGTGAGGATCGACGCTCATCGCATTTCCCCAATCCGGACAACGCTGGTGCTGCATACGTTCAAATACCCACACGTCACCTATTGCCAGACCCTGCCTGATTGGGCTCATAACCTGCTGATGTGAAACAGCAGACCCGAAACCCAAAAACCAACGGAAAAGGCAATCCCCTCGCAACCATGGCCCACACGAGTGGAGGTGCTTCGTGCATATACGATTAGATAGCCACTACAGTGGTGCTTGGCACCTACGAAGAGCAACCGAAACAAAATCATAATATGATTGCATGATCGGACCTGTGCAGAGAAGTGTGCTTCAGCAAGTGGGTTCAGGGTTAGGTCTCAAATTATCTAACACTAAACCCTAAACCCTAAACCCTGACCCTGCACCCTAAACCCACCTTCTGGGGCTTAGAGGTTCGAGCTTCGTCCTTCACCCTCGGCAGCTACCGCTTCGGGGTTCACAGTGCAAGGGGCGATGGCGAGCCAACTAGCTTACAGGGTTTAGGGTTTAGGGTTTAAGGTTTAAGGGCTTTCGTTTTGGGGGATGATCACCCAAGCTGACGCAGCCTCAACGTCTCGCTCACGTCGTGCAGCGAGATGCTGTAGCCAGTCAGTGCCTCAACCTTGGCATACTTGGAGGTTCATTGTACTTACTATCCAATTACAACTGTACTTGTAACCCACTTCTAAGCCCCTAAAACGTGCCCTATATGCTTCTAAGTGCAGCGATAAGTACAGTTGTAACCCTAAACCCTAAACCCTAAACCTTAATAAATACCAGGAACCTCCAAGTAAGTCTGAGATCGCCAGATGGCTTTTGGATTGCGCCAGGGCGCATCGGGATTTAGGGTATATAGGGTTTATCGGGTTTATGGGGTTTATCGGGCTTATCGGGTTTATCGGGTTTATCGGGCTTATCGGGTATATAAGGTTTATCGGGTTGATAAGGTTTATCGGGTTTATCGGGTTTATGGGGTTTATAGGGTTTATAAGGTTTTTCTGTGGTTTTATAGGGTTTTATAGGGTTTTATAGGGTTTTATAGGGTTGATGGGGTTTATCGGGTTTATCGGGTTTATGGGGTTTATGGGGTTTATCGGGTTCATAGGGTTTATAGGGTTTATAGCGTTTTAGTTCTGAAGTATGGGCCCTTGGGTTTCAAAGGTAGACAAGAAGTATATAAGGGCTCCCCAACTAAGTGCCCGCATTAAGGGACCATGTGACAACCCTAAAATAAGCCCTTAACCCTAAACCCTCACAGCCTCAACCCTAAATCCGAACCCCTAAACCCTAAACCCTTAAACCCTTAAACCCCTTAAACCCTAAACACTAAACCCTAAACCCTAAACCCTGAAGCCCTAAGCCCTAAACCCTAACCCCTAAACCCTATACCCTAAACCCTAAACCCTAAACCCTAAACCCGAAAGCCGGCCCTAGGGTTTGGACGCTGGGCAAGCCCTACCTTTGTCAGCGTTTAAGGTTTAGGGTTGAGGGTTCAGGGTTTAGACAGGCTTTTTTCTTTTTTCGGAGGGAAGGGGGAAGGGTTTTGGTATTTGGGGGAACGATTTGTCACTCTGGGGAATCTTAAGATTTGCTCGGTTCCTCTGGTACAGGCTTCGCTGATTTTGCGAACCAAACCGTTAACCGTAAACCAGGCACCGTGCGCAACGCCCTAAACCCTAAACCCTAAACCGTAAACCCTAAGCCCTAAGCCTATAAGCCCTAAACCCTAAACACTAAACCCTAAACCCTAAACCCTAAACCCTAAACCCTAAACCCTAAACCCTAAACCCTAAACCCTAAACCCTAAACCCCAAACCCTAAACCCTAAACCCAAATGCAACTTGGAAGCGCCAGAGATGGCGAAGCTGAGGTTGTTCTGAAATGTTTCCTCGGATTCCGGGAGTGTGCCATTCCAGAAAGGTGAGTTCTCAAAAATGTAGGGTGTAGGGTTTAGGGTTTAGGGTTTAGGGTTTAGGGTTTAGGGTTTAGGGTTTAGGGATTGTGCCCCTCCAGCCAGAATCTCAAAAATGCGGTTGGGTATACCCTACATGAGCGGGGCCGCCTTATAATGAAACAAGAGGTGACCATAAGGGGTTGTGTGCTGAGGATTGTAAAGATACTCACAAATGCGGGGTGAAAGATGCATTTTAACAACGTTCGGTTCTTCTGTTCTCTTCATTCAGCCCTTTGTGTACTCTTTGATCTCTGTTTCTGTGCTCATGGCCGCTTTTGTTATTGGGAATTTTAAGCGACCACGAACTCACTGAACGCTACAGAAGTAGACTCATGCGCGAATGATCATAATAGAAAAATGAATATTCGATCACCAAAAAGTTTTTTCGGGATTTTTGAGAAAAGAGTAAATGAACAACTATGAATACAAAAAGTACATCCCAAAGTACAGCCGTTCTGCAATGTTTAGAAGACTGCCCAATTGCAACTCCGCTTCATTGGGGTACCCCTTTTATACCCCAAACAGAATACAATCCCCTTCAAGAGCCCCTCAAAAAAAAACACCCCTATTTTCAGAAACCCTAAACCCTAAACCCTAAACCCTAAACCCTAAACCCTAAACCCTAAACCCTAAACCCTAAACCCCCAATTGCAACTCCGCTTCATTTGGGTACTTGAAGAGCGGCCACTTCACGATGACCGTGCGCACCTTGTGCAACCTGGCAGTGACGACCTGAGGGGTTTAGGGGCTTGGGGGTTTAGGGTTTAGGGTTTAGGGTTTAGGGTTTAGGGTTTAGGGTTTAGGGTTTAGGGTTTAGGGTTTAGGGTTTAGGGTTTAGGGTTTAGGGTTTAGGGTTTAGGGTTAAGGGGTTCAGGGTTTAGGGGTTCAGGGTTTAGGGTTTAGGGGTTTAGGGTTGAGGGTTTAGGGGTTAGAGGGCCTCGCCGATGCACCACTTGCGCGCAAGGATGCCAGGCGTTGCAAGGACCACCAGCGTCTCGGTGTCTCTCACAAAGGTGAACAGTTTGGTGAGATCTGTGAGGTTGTCGGTGTCCAAGAACACAGAGAATCCACGCTTCTGCAAGTTTATCTTCAACAGGCGGGCAATGCCGCCTGCTGCGCGCTTATGGTGAGAAAGGAAGAACTGCCAGGGCTTCTGATTCTTGTGCAGAATATGCAAGGCGAGTCCATAGAGCACAGAAAGCGCGATGCCAGCTATCATGATCCTTGGTACCCCAGTAACCATAACCATACTATGATAAGGGCACCCTTTTTTGGGTGGCTCATTTATTTGTAAGGGAACCTTGAACCAAAAAAAGGGAAAGGGTACCCTAAACCCTAAACCCTAAACTCTAATCCCTAATCCCTAAACCACTGGGCTACCAAGGATCGCCAGGAAGAGCACGGAAAGTATGGTGGCTGTGGCCACATCAGCGTGTTGACCATCGAACATGGAGGCGACGTCGAGCACCACCTTGGCGCCCCAGAAAACCCGCAAATCACTAGGGTTTAGGGTTTAGGGTTTAGGGTTTAGGGTTTAGGGTTTAGGGTTTAGGGTTTAGGGTTTAGGGTCTAGGGTTTAGGGTTTAGGGTGTAGGGCTTAGGGCTTAGGTTTTAGGAATTACAACTTCTGCGAGGCAAGGCAACGGCCTTGCAACATCTGGACCCCCCGACACCCCGTCCCCACCTGGACGTGTGCTCTAGACCTGAAGCCTTGCCCATGGAGACTCGGTGATTTGTGTGCCCTTTGTGCGCGGGGACGCACGCCCACGCGCGTGCATGCGCACGGTGTGCCGGCGTGCGTGCATTTAGCATGTGGTGCGTGGGTGCGTGGGTGCGTGGGTGCGTGGGTGCGTGGGTGCGTGGGTGCGTGGGTGCCTGCTTGCCTGCCTGCGTGCCTGCCTGTGCGCCTGCCTGCGCGTGCGTTTCTCGTATCACTTGGCCCAGCGTCAAGCAAGCCGACGTGCAGAAGGATGTCCAGCGCATTGCCTCACGAGCTTCGTCAACCCCGGGTCTGTGGGCAAAGAATGAGTCCCTTCTGAGCCCCCAAGGGTTTATAGGGTTTGCATAGGCCCTTAATGGGTTTATAGGGTTTATAGGGTTTGTATAGGCCCTTAATGGGTTTTTAGGGTTTATAGGGTTTGTATAGGCCCTTAATGGGTTTATAGGGTTTATAGGGTTTGTATAGGCCCTTTATCAGGTTTCCAGGGTTTATCGGGTGAAAAGTTCACAGGGTTAGCAGGGTTTATGGGGCTGAGAAAGTTTACAGGGTAAAACCCGTTGCCGCGAACATGCGCATGACATGGGCCCTCAAGGCCTCTTGGGGGTTGACTCAACTCCTAGCAGCTGCAAATGGTTTAGGGTCAGGGTTCAGGGTTCAGGGTTCAGGGTTCAGGGTTCAGGGTTTAGGGTTTAGGGTTTAGGGTTTAGGGTTTAGGGTTTAGGGTTTAGGGTTTAGGGTTTAGGGTTTAGGGTTTAGGGTTTAGGGTTTAGGGTTTAGGGTTTAGGGTTTGGGGTCCAGGGCTTTTCGGGTTAAGGGCTTTTTGTTGGGGTTTGTTTGGGGTCCCGTGGCTCAGGGTCCTCTAGCGCCTGCAGGCTCCTCTTTGCTGCGAGGTGCTGGCTGGGACCCTCCAAGGGCGGCCAAGCGCGACAAGCACCAGGCTGGTGTAGAGGAGCATGTTCCTGGGGGTTTAGGGTTTAGGGTTTAGGGTTTAGGGTTTAGGGTTTAGGGTTTAGGGTTGAGGGTGGAGGGTTGAGGGTTTAGGGTTTAGGGTTTAGGGTTTAGGGTTTAGGGTTTAGGGTTTAGGGTTTAGGGTTTAGGGTTTAGGGTGGAGGGTTGAGGGTTTAGGGTGCAGGGTTCCTCCGGTCTATGAATACTCCTTAGGGGCTGAATATACCCCGGCCCACAAAAGGATGTATTTTTATTTTTCATGGTATAACCAGAAAGGTTAAGGTTGTCTACCCAATCCCTAAGATTATGCTTGCTGTTACTAGAGCGATTCTGAATATCAATTTTCCTCTGCTATTTGCAGCAGTCTTATATTTTTAGACCCAAGAGGAACCTAGGAATAAAAAGGGTGCCCTTTTTGCTTTAAAGTGGCTTATACGGGAACCCAAACCCGGAAACAAGGGATAAGGGCCTACGTCGGGTCCTAGAAATTCCGAATGGGCCTACCTAAACCCTAAACCCGAAACCCTAGTTAAACCCTGAACCCTGAACCCTGAACCCTGAACCCTAAACCCTAAACCCTAAACCCTAAACCCTAAACCCTAAACCCTGAACCCATGTGCGGCTCCCTCCCGCGAACTGCTGTATTTGGGCTTCAGGTCTGGTAGAATCTTGAATCCATGGGGGTTGGGGGAGGGGGGGGGGCAGAAGTTTGCGAATTTAGGGTTTGGGGTCTAGGCTTAGGAGTCCGCGTTTCAGTGGGCAGGGTTAGAAACCTCCACCCTTGATTCCCTAAGGACATCCACCTGCCACTCTGTCTTGGGGCAGAGGAAAAGAAAAATCGCGCATTCGCTGAACAGTCGGGACCGAAACCCTAAGCCCTAAGCCCTAAGCCCTAAACCCTAAACCCTAAACCCTAACAGTCCCTGCCAAGATTCATGACTACGAGCTTGATGGAGATCGAGGGTATCATGGGACAGAGCACCATGAGGGAGTTTCCTCACATTGACACTGCGAACTTCGCCACTGTGTGGGGTTTAGGGTTTTGGGTTTAGGGTTTAGGGTTTAGGGCTTAGGGCTTAGTGGTTTAGGGTTTAGGGTTTAGGGTTTAGGGTTTAGGGTTTAGGGTTTAGGGTTTAGGGTTTAGGGTGTAGGGTTTAGGGTTTAGGGTTTAGGGTTTAGGGTTTCAGCCAAAACTTGCAAGTGGATTTGCTGTGAGGTGGGCTCCGGAAACCAAGTTTGCAAAACCCCTGCCCAAACACAGCCTGAAACTGTTTCATCATACTATGACGGTTCTGTTGTTCCAGTGCGTCTTGCATCTATGGATTGCGCTCCGGGCATTCATCTTGCCTTGTCTTTTTCTGGCTTTCCCGTTTCTGCATACCCGCCGAAAGATTGAACAAAGACTAAGATGGCCCCTAGAACCTTCAAGAATATGATCCTCTTCAGACCCAAGCAGGGAGTATATAAGAGTTCCCAAGGGCCTACCTAGTTAGCCCTAGCCCTAAACCCTAAATGCTAAAGCCGAACAGCCTACCTAGTTGTGGCAAGCCCGAAGTCTTTTGTCATGACTAGCTGTCTTTCCCCTGCTCTTGGGTTACGAAAGCACTTCAGCTGGTGTAGGGCTTAGGGTTTAGGGTTCAGGGTTCAGGGTTTCAGGTTTAGCGTTCAGGGTGTAGGGTGTAGGGTTTAGGGTTTCGGGTTTAGGGCCAGGGTGTAGCCCAGCACTTTCTTGACCCTATGAACGCGCCTGCTGGCTTCATGGTGCCAAGGGAACATGGACTTCTCTGTGTGGGCATTGGGTACTTGGAGGTGCAGGGTACTTAGTAACCCATTGTAACTGTACTTATAACCCACTTAATAAGCCCCTTAAGTGCCCGAGTATGGCTATACATCCACTTATAAGTACAGGTATGATTGGTTAGTAAGTACCACGAACCTCCAAGTAGGCCCTCTTGTATGTGAGTACTGTGCCACTATAGTCTCGAAGTGCATGGGCTGCGGTACTGGAACTCAAAGTGAGCAAAGGTTCCAACCCCCAAACCCTAAGCCCTAAACCCCAAACCCTAAACCCTAAGCCCATAAACCCTAAACCCCAAACCCCAAACCTAAACCCCAAACCCCAAACCCCAAACCCAAAGACTCAAGCTCCGGGCGGCTGCAAAGGGAGAAGATGGCAAAGAGCTCCGCGCCGGGTCGAAACCGCTGCCACCTGGGTTGGCCCCTTAAGGGACTTAGGGTTTAGGGTTTAGGGTTCAGGGTTTAGGGTTCTTAGGGTTTAGAGTTTAGGGTTGGGAAGCGGAAACATGCAGATCCCAAGGGCCTACCCTAAACCCTAAACCCTGAAATGACCCAAACCCTAAACCCTAAACCCTAAACCTCCGCCACCCTAAACCCTAAACCCTAAACCCTAAAACGCCCAGCCACAGAAAGGAGCAGGCGCGGAAGTAGTGCACATCGGCTCGGAGAATTCGCTTCGGGAGCTCCACAAGCGTCAAGTGAAGACACAGTGCCTGGACACTGAAAGCTAGGGAAGGCCCTAAACCCTAAACCCTAAACCCTCAACCCCAAACCCTAAACCCTCAAACCCTAAACCCGATGATCGGCTGACTAGGTGCCACTTCTGCAGGCCATGAGATGCCAATGTAGGGGTTTTTCGGTTCAGCATCTAGGGTTTGGAGTTTAGACTAGCGTTTTGGGTTTAGGGTTGAGGGTTGAGAGTTGAGGGTTGAGGGTTGAGGGTTCTAGGGTTTAGGGTTTAGGATTTAGGGTGTAGTAGGTGGCCTTCAAGTCATCAGTGAGTGCAGCCTCACGAGACCTTATGCTCTGCCATTGTCAAGACACCCGCCTGCGCACCCTTAAGTGGTTTAGGGTGTTAGGGTCTATGGTCAGGGTTCAGGCTATGCAGCAGGACGACCCCAACTAGGCTTCCTTTTCGTGCATTTAATTCTACTCTCTACCTGCGTAGGCTTCCAGGTATGGGCTGGCTTGAAGTTTCGACGATGCCTGTCGGTGGTCTTGTTGAGGCGGGTTCGATGGCTCTTTGTTCCCAATTACGAGATGCTGAGAGGTACCTAGAAGAACACTTGCCGGGAGGATCCATCTCGAGGCGTTGACGTCACAACTTTCCAATCCCCGAAGGAGGAGTGCGAAGATGACCCTAACGGTGTCGACATGGGCATTTCCCAAAAGGGGGTACGCCTTGTATACCCCCAAAATGAATAGAACCCCCTGAAAGGGACCCCCCCACAAGGGTACCCCTATTTCTAAACCCCCGACGTTCCGTCTGTGCGAATCTTATCCTGTCACATCTGGTGAGCGATCTCAGGGACGCTCGACCGAATTCGAGCTTGTGCTCCGCCGGCGGCTGACTGCAGGCACTTCAGAGAAAGGGTGAGAAAGTGAGAGGGGGTTTAGGGTTTAGGATTTATGGTTTAGGGTTTAGGGCTAGGGTGTACATTGAGTAGGGCACCCTCCACCCCTCAAAAGTGAGGGCAAGGTGCCACGAAGTAGATCGGCATTGTGACTGCCAAGCACCCGATGATGGTCATCTGCAAGTGGTCCTCTTTCATGTCGCAGTACACCGAGTCATACGCTTGCCTTGCATTTGGCTGCTATCTGTCAAGCGGACGATTCAGCTTTTGCGGGGGCCTATTTGGAGCCCAAAACCTTTGTTGTTGTTGACAGGCTACTGAAGAATCCTGTATGGAGCTTTTCACTAAGAGCCTACAAAAAAGTTTGGGCTCTTACTGTAAACCCTAAACCCTAAATCTGGGATCTTCATG